TAGATGAATGGATAAAGAAGATGTGGTACATATACACAATGGAAAATTATTCAGCCATAAGAAGAAAACAAATCCTACCATTTGCAACAACATGGATGGAGCTAGAGGGTATTATGCTTAGTGAAATAAGCCAGGTGGAGAAAGACAAGTACCAAATGATTTCAGTCATTTGTAGAGTATAACAATAAAGCAAAACTGAAGGAACAAAACAGCAGCAGACTCACAGACTCCAAAAAGGGACTGTGGTTACCAAAGGGGAGGGGTTGAAGAGGTGGGTATGGAGGGAGAAGGGCATTAAAGGGCACTGTAATTTGTAATCACAGTACAGGTAGGTCACAGGGAAGGCAGTACAGCATGGAAAAGACAAGTAATGACTCTATAGCATCTTAACTACGCTGATAGACAGGGACTGCAGGAGTACGGGTGAGGACTTGTTAATATGGGTGAATGTTGAAACCACAATGTTCATGTGAAACCTTCATAAGATTATATATCAATGGTAGTTTAATTAAAAAAAAAGAATGTATATCTTTGAGCCTTATCTAGTAGGCTTACCAAAGCATCTCTGGAAGAATGTATAGTGACATATGAGCATAGAAAGAAAGTAAAGTCTTTGTCATGGGAGTGTCTTATGTGCCATGTTTTTGGACTTCATACTTATTTTGCCTTACTGAAATAAAAAAAAAAGACAAGTTCATGACTTTAAGGTGGATAATACTAGCAGTGACCATAACTCTGTTATAATGATAAATATACTAAAATGGTCTACATTGTATTCTTTATACTTGTGCATCTTCTTGGAAAAAGTAATTATGTGCCTTAAGCTTTAGTATTTATAATCAGCCAATTTTATTTTTCTTCTAGTGCCTATGTTGAAAAATATCTACTGGAGAAGTCCAGACTCGTTTATCAAGAGCATAATGAACGGTATGGATTTTATCAACATAATTAGATCAAGCTAACATTTATATCATGTGGACAGGTTTTTAGGATCTTTGTGTATTTTGAACTTTAATTCAGTTTATACTATAAATAGCTTTACATGTAATTGCTAGTTTTGTGTGGGCAGAACACTGTACTTTTTCAGAGGCTGCTAGGAGATGTTTTAATAGGTATATGAACTGTTGCCCTTTCTAAATTCTAGCTAAACTATCACAACAGAAAAACAGTGCTATCTAAAGTGGTATTTTATTACTCTTTGTGAGCATTGAGCATTGGACCTTTTTCCATGTCTTAATGTTCCTTCTCTAATGTGAGGAAAGTTTTTAATAATTCCTTTTAATTACATTATAATATGAGGTATATGGGACTTCAGAGGTGATATATGTAACTTCCTACAGATGAAGAAACCAAACATCAGAGAGATAAATGATTTGCTTCATGCTTCAATGAGACAGTGTTAATAGCCAGTGTTTCAAGTTAAATGTATATTCAAATTGTGCCTTTGGCATCTCACTTCTTTGCTTTTTAGCTATTTATTTCCATTTTACAGATGGAAAACTACTCTAGAGTTGTTTAGAGGATTAAATGAAATAGCATTTATAAATTGCTTGGTGTGCTTCTAATACAGTATAATCAAGTTTAGGAATTAATAGCTAACATTATCATAATGAATTACTTGTAAGATCAGGACTGAAAGTCAGACTTCTGTTAATTTTTTTGTGACTAGTGGGTGAGAAAATCTAAATTAGAGTGGTTTCAAAATGAAGGGAAGAGTTTCAGGAAGAGAATAACTTTATAAAGATGTGCAGAACTAACAGGTACTGCAATTAGAAGGTTATTAGTAACTTTTTCTAACACATTTTAATAATGGTAGGGATATAAACCTGATTTCCATGGTTTTGAAGAATCAATGCTAAGGGAAGATCCAGAGCTTTTTAAACTGATTCTCTGTTATCTTGCTGGATTTAATTCGCAGGTGTGTGTATAATCTTTATTATATGTTCCTAGATTTGGCCTGGGAGTATTTTGTTGAGGATTTTTTGTGTCTGTATTCATAAGGGATATTGCTATAAAGGTTTTTTTTCTTTTTCCTTTTAATGTCCTTGGTTTTGGTATCGGGGTAATACTGGCTCATAGAATGAGATGGGAAGAGTTTGTGAAGAATTGGGCTAATTCTTATTTATTTATTAAATATTAAAAAATTTTTAAAATTTAAATATGCTTGACACACAATATTACATAAGTTTCAGGTATACAACAGTGATTCGACATTTATATACATTACAAAATGCTCACCATAATCAGTAGTTACCATATGTCACCATACAAAGTTGTTACAGTATTAATGACTGTATTTCCTATGCTGTACATTCCATCCCCATGTCTTATTTATTTTATAACTGGAAGTTTGTACTTCTTAATATCTCCTTCACCTAATTTGCCCATGCTCCCCTCTGGCAACCACCAGTTTATTCTCTGTATTTATGTTACTGTTTTGTTTGTTCATTTGCTTTGTTTTCTAGATTTTACATGTAAGTGCAATTAAATGATATTTTTCTTTTTGTTTCTGACTTATTTCATTTAGCATAATACCCTCTAGAACCATCCATATTGTTATAAATGGAAAAACTTCATTCTCTTTTGGTTAGTATTCCA